TTTTCTACTCCCTGTGAACTACTTTGGAAGAAATTTGTGGAAAATGCAGAACATTAATAAATTGCTTAGGACTCTAGTGGGGGAATAATGAGCACATGATTTCTTGCTAATTTTCAGTGGGAAATAAGCTACAATGGTGAATTAAGTTCCTACAGCCTGAATGCAGCTTTAATCTTCACACACACAAACACACAGACACACACTTGCCAATGTGGAAAAGAGGCCATGTATTCCAGCTCTGTCCCCTCCACTGGTGTCATGTCTCTGTCATAAACCTTGCAACCCTCGGATGCCAATAGAGATATTGAGACTTGTATCTCAAAGCTCACTTGCTCCTGATCTAAATGGAACTGGCCTCTCTGGCCTTGTGGCAGGACATTTAGGAACATCTCGAGGGCCTCAGAACCCTGAAGTGCTTGCTGGAAACTCTAGCAATCCAAGAGTGTTTAGAAAAAATTGGATTTGCTCTTAACCGAAATAAAGGGGAAAGAAATTAAGTGAAATTGTGGGGATGGTATAACTCGGTATGCTTAAATGTTGACTTCTACTTTTGTAACTTGGTTGCGTTTTCTTTTCTCCCTTCCAGACTTTTCTATTTTGCCATTTCTCCTTTGGACTTAAGGTTCAAGGTTCAAGTAATCTTAAGGTTCAAGGTAAAGCAGAGTATATGATCCCTAGTGCTCAGTTATGATTTTATGCAGTCTTAATTACAGACCCCTTTTCATTTGGATGTCCCAGATTTTCATAGCCTCGCAGAGTTCTGGAAGAAAAAAAGGGTCTATAGAAATAACTGCATGTTTTTGGTTTCCATCTATAGGATGTTTTATGTTGTGAATTTAATAAAATATAATTCTACGAGCTGTTCTGTTTACAATAAATGTCTATACATATTTAAGTTGCAAGCTGATCAAATACACTGATCAAATAGAATATGTTTTAGTGCGCTATACCTTTATAGACTTCTTAAAGAGATACACGCTACAAATGGTTATTATAGCAG